TGGATTGGCTCGCCATTGGTTTCGTATAAAACTTCGCTTACAGTCGGTCTTTTGCCGCCAGTAGATCGCATCAGGAGGAAACGCTTACGAAAATGCCACGAGGTGGCCGCTTGATCCACCTCAATAACCAGCTACGTCCACTAGACCTCGCGATCTTACCGGAGAAGCTGTTTGAGCTCAGCGTTAGTAGTCATACGTAGTGTATGGTATTTAACGCTAGCAGAAATTGCTCGACAGGCTTCGAGAAGTTAGGGAGATCGTGCAGAGGTCCAGTAGGCGACAGGATTAGTGGTGAAGCCACAGACCAGGGTTGCAGAGTTGTACATGGCGCCGCGAATGCATGTCAAGTGTGTTTCAATGTCTGTGCATGAGGCTGTCTTCAGCTTTGAGGCCAAAGCATCCTGAAATGCGCAAGAATGTTCGGGGCAGAAAGCTTAGCTACGTCAAGCCGTTTCCGCCGACGCTGCTAGTAGCTACCAAAACGTAGCGCGAACTTGGCAAACACCAGCGCAAGATCAGAAGTGACATAGGTGCTCCAGATTGATTTGCAATCCTGTATGCTACCCCGCCAGTGACAGCCAACGGCGATGTGGTCAATTTGTGTCCATGGCTGGCCAGGTGATGGGGGTCTCCATGTGGCGCGTTGGTGCCAGGATCCTCAAAAGCTAGTGATCGACAGAGAGGTCGTGATCGGCGCAAAGCTGAAGTAGTCAATCACTGTTATCAGTTCTGCGGCTGCCATGGCCATGTTGACCACCGAGTTCACGTTCATCAACTTCAAGTCTACCGACCTGAGCGTTCAAATCCTCGGCGAGCACTACGATGTCGGTACGGCGCTTTTTACGGAGTAAGTCGGACAGTTGACCATAGAACTCATCTTTAATTGACTCCGAGCTGCGACAATGAATAGACAGCGTCTGCTGGTTTCGCGTCTGGACAGTCGCGCTGAAGTTTCAAGTAGGATCGCGCATAGTCGACTGTTAACAGGGATCCAGTCTAGTAGCGCGGTCTCAGCACGTGTGCTCAACGCAATCCCCAAGCTAGCGTAACCAGTGGCTTCGGCAACTGAGTCTCCAGATATGCGCAAAGTGAAAATGACAGTGGAATTCGCAGACGGTGAAACTAGTCGCAGCGTCGTGCTATAGTCCTGTAAACGGGTCTCGCTGATACTGCAGACATCAATGGCCGTAGTTTCTAGAGTGCGAGCAAGGGCTGCCTGTGATCCAATCTACATCAGGGTCCGAACACTGAAGCTTGCCAGCTTGAATTGGAAACGGGGCACTAGAAATAGCATGTCAACACGACAGCACACACACGGACCTAGGCTCCTGATCCGTATGGCGATAACGTTCGCCCAAGGCGGAACGGTGTTGTGAACTCGAAAACGGAGGGGGAAGACCAAGAATGGGGGGTTGAACAAAGGTGGAAGAAAGTGATTAAATGGTGGTGCGGTGAAACGTGGTTTGGCAAGTTCAGCCACCAGCACCTCGGTCAAAGAGAGTAGTTCGAGAGAGTGAGAGCAGATGGAGCGAGCAAAGAATTGTCGAGATACGGATCCATAGGTTGTGTGGGCATGGTGATTCCCGGTAGCCCAGGACGAGGAAGAAGGTTGAATTAGGGACCTCCACCCGGAACCTTCGGTCATAAAAGATCTAACCAGAAAAGCAGCGGGGAGATTGACGTATACCGCGAACCGTCAGGAACCGGCTATCTAGGTAAGAATAAAATGGCTTTCGAGTAGAGGCAAATTACTCAGGGTGCCCAAAGAGCCCGACTAAAGCAGCAAGGAAGCCAGGATTCCCTGGGCTACCGAACTCGCCGCGAATGCCGTTGACAGCCGGGTGGCTCATACGCCCCCATAGAAGCCGGTGACCATCGAGGTTGTTCATGCGCCCTCCGTTAAGTACTCACTTCTGTGACCAAAAGTGAGTGATAAGTGACCCTAAAGCCGGTCACATTGGCATTGACACAGCGTCTTGCGAGCTCTAGTGGTATTTAATAAAGAACCAGGTGACCAGCCCAGAACCCTCCATGCTCTAGGACGCTGCCGCTCATTGTCCGCGACTGCTTATTCATCTCGTATGCGAACAGTTACCTTCGCAAAGAAAACCCTCTCCGATCCGCAACCTGGGGAGGCGCCCGGTAGCGTACAGCTCCGCCGAATTAACCAGAGGTCGGTTAGGTTTCAGGATAAGGCGAACAATGAGGAAGCTCCGGCGAGCGAGAGCCGAACGCTTATGAAGTACGAGTCCGGTCGAGAACTCCGAAGGCTTTCGTGTCCAGTGCGTAAGTAGGTAGCAATAGACCTGGAGGGCTACAATACAAAATGAATACCTCCTAGGTGGCTGGGTGCTCATATCACAAACACCTAGTAAGAGACCATACTAAGCGAAAAGTAAGCTAAGAAGAAGATGAAACATCAACCGCCGTCTAACCGAGGTACAACGACCTCCTTACATTAGGTATCACTACAAGGTAACGCTCGGACCTGCAACAACGGTAGTATGCATCCGGTTGAGGGTTCCGTGTCCGGACGTACGTGGGTTGTAAAAGACCGAGGTGATTGAAAGGCAAAACATATACTTCGTGGGCGGCTAGATAGTTTTATCACAACCACCTAGTAGGAGCCGGAGCTGAATGGACGGTACGCCTGACTTACACTTTGTGGCGAACTAAACGGCGTTATGATCAGGCTCCAAGGACGAAATAGGCTCCCGTCTAACGAGCGTCCTGTTTCTGATACCGGTAAACAAACCAACACCTCCAGTACTTCGGCAAAAAGTGAAACAAGAACAAGGGCAAGCCGTGTACTTTCTTGGGTCATAGACTACGAGGTCTGACAATTGTCAATAAACTTACAATAATTCCGGGAAAAGATCTAATCAAAACTTATCCAAACCCTTTATAAAGGCTTCTACAGTGGTACTTTCAAGCAAGGCAGAAGGAAGCCTGTTCCAACTATGAACCACACGATTCGCAAAGGATGTGGCCCTGATCTCTGATGCTTAAGCTTAAGTCCACGCCCCTGCAGGTGATCAGAATCAGCTGGTTCAAACAGGTCGCAAGGCCTGAGGCCATTCATAATTGTGAACATTTCCATGAGGTCGCCTCTCAATATGTGCCGATCCATGAAAAACGACCATAGGATCCTAAGGTGCTCATGCTGACTTCCCACGCTAGCCTTCAATCATCGTAGTCGCCAATTTTTGGACCTTTAATATGCAAACAACATCCTTCGAAAAATACGGTGCTTAAGTCTGCACACAGTATTCTAAGTGAGACCGTAACACCGCCTTGTAAAGGAGAAGGAAAACTTCAGGTTTAATGTTGTATAACATTCTCCTGAGAGGAAAGAGCGCCTGCCGCGCCATGTTGGCTGCGTGTTGACACTGTGCTGAAAGTTTAAAGTTACTCATCAAATTGATGACCAGATCACATGCTTCATCCACGCAACGTCGGCGTTGTCGCCGCTGCCAATGGAGGACCGAGCCTGATGTGTGCGTGGATGGATGGTGAAAACACGCATGTACTCTAATCATTAAAAAATGGGAAGGTAAGGAAAGGAGGGAATGACAATGGCATTCTAAACTGAGCTCGACGACATGTTACCTGATGATTTGCTACAGAGATACCGACGCGTTACTGCAGTGTGCAATGGCGCAGAAGTAAGGGAGCCGAACGATGGATCAAAGAACTACGAGATAATGGGTTCCAGAGACGCAGTATAGCAATACAACAACCAACACACCAACAGGAGGTCAAAGAAGACGTAGCGACGTAGGACTATGTCAAACAATCTACCTACTCTGTAGGTCGCGATGGACCAACCGAAATGCAATAGAAAACAAAGAGAACATAGGTAGTCGGAAGTCAAACCCCAACCACCTATTGAGAACTAAAACCGACAAACAATGTATCGAGAGCCTGCTGGAAAGCAGACACCGGAAAATGGCCGAGAAGCTGAGAGCAACTGTAGCATGCAAGCACGGAAGAACTCCAAAGGTTGAGAAGGAAGCTCTACTACACAACACGTAGCCTCTACGAAAGAGAAACAACGTGAGATAAGATGGAAATAAGGCAACTACTGTTAACCACTGTCTTCATGTGCTTGTTCTTCTCCAGTAATTGAGCAAGACACTCTGAAAGACAAACGAGAGAGAATGCCGTCAATGCAACAATTTAATTTTGGACGCGCCCAAAAACTGCTTCGGTCCTTCTCCACACTACACCTCCTCTTATCAGGAAGCATCCCCGTTGTCAGACCATAGCCTCCTTTAGTCGGTACTTCCAGTTCAACCGCTATTTCCCCAGGCGTTTCGTTCGGCCCCCCGACAGTGTGGTCAGTTCTACTCCGGAAGTCGATTGAAATGCACTAGCATGGGTTAACTGGCAGAGTTATTAGGACCTCCGATAATACATGTCACATCCGATATCACCCATTGTATTATCCACGGCCGTCCACTCATGGTGTAGCATAGCCGGGACTCCTGAGGTTGGAACCTGGTGCAAGTAAATCTGGTCGCCAACCTTCAGAGGAGCACCGAAGACTTTCTTGTCGTCGGTGAACGCGTGCCGCCTGATGTGTTTGATAAAGAGAAGTAAGTAGCCTGTTAACATAGATTATCACCGATAAGTGTGACTGTTGCGAAATAGGTGGTCTAATAAACATCATCAGTACACGTTAGCCGAAGGTGAGGAACACAACTAAGTTGATGTTCCGCAATACAAAAAGAGGAGACTAAAAGGTTACACTATAAAAAGACTCTAAGCAATATATATAGGTCAAATATTATACAATAAAACCCCAATACGTTCACCACCCCAGGGACTGGATCAAAGTGGTCAACATGGAGAGGTGGTCAACATATCGAGGTTCCTTGAAGGATGTTTGTGAGTAGCAGATTATTGTGCGCAGTTTAATCGTGACTTCTACTTTCTACGAACCTTATGCTACTTACAAACACCCTTCAAGTTATCTACCATTACCGTTTGGACTTCAGGAGGACACTTACTTCGGTCCATTGGAAAGTGACGAGTGAGTGAGCCAATGTGCAACACCAGGACAGTTACTGTGAGCTCAATGGCAATACGTCGCGCACCAAGCGGAAGACATGTATTAAAGTGCGCACCTAATCGTCAGTCCTCGGTAGCTCAGTGGTAGAGCAGCGGACCGGAAATTCGTGGGACCGGGGTACGATTCCTCGTCGAGGCAGATTATTGTGTGCAGTTTAATCGTGACTTATGCTTTCTACGAACCATACCGAGGTTCTATGCCAAAAACTTTGCGTAACCTACTTTCACGTCATGAGTAGTAGAGCATAACATTTATTTTCACACAAACCCGTTTCGAACACGTTAGAGGAAGTTTCACTTAACGGCAAACGCAGTTCTACTATACAGTGTTATAATAAATTAAAACGCAGTGTGCAATTTGCGTTAAAGCATTTTTTTGAAAAAAAGCCAATTTTTGTTTCTCTCTTATCACAAAGATAACTGAAGAAAGCACAAGCTGCACTACTCAACACGTTTGGACATTTTCCACAGCAAATGATTTCAGTTGCATTAAATGATGTCTGACTTCATCTTCCTTTGGAGTTACTGTGATTTACAAATCATCGTCACAGTCCTTCTTCTTCATCAGTACTATCAGGTGTTTGTTCTTTGTTCTCGTAGGGGAGTACGGCAGTCTTTTGGAAAATAGCATCTGGGTCTGGTTCAGTGTAAGTTACCAAGTCATCATACAATTCAACAAACTCATTAAAATCTGCCCCGTCGAATTCGGCCAGTTGAGATAGTGTTCAGTAAGGCGACGCCATCTTGCTCGACAGGTTGAACAAACGCGGCCTCTCTGAAACACTCGTATAATTTCTGGCTGAACTTTGAAGCAAGCGGAACTTATCCAAAGCACAGCATCCAAGGCATTGACTGAAGCAACAGAAGTTCCTTCTGCATTTGAATCAAGAGTATGTAATGTTGTCATGAGCTGGGCTCGGTAGTGCATTTTGTACAGTTTATTGATCCCTTGGTCCAGATGTTGAATTAGTGATTTCATGTTTGGATGCAGAAACCTCAGTGGAATATTTGTGAGATCTTTTACATGGGTGTGACCAGGACAGTTGTCTACTGTCAGGATAATGAAGCGTCTCTTCATCATTTCCTTATCGATGCTTCTCTAGGACAAGTAAATACTAGTCCGAGACGGTGCGCGAAATTAAGCGCGGATATCAGAAGGCAATTGGAGTCGGACACAGCGGACTGTATTTGATGGGCTACAAGAAGACGCGGACGGATGAAGCAAAACAGGAGGAACACGTTAGCGCGGGAACTTACAAGACGGTCGAGTGTCGAGTCGGATGTAGGACAACATGAACGTAACGTAAGGGAGGATAAAACAAGAAGGAATAGTGTACAATTGGTCATCAGCGGACTTGTACACAAAAGATAAGTTATCTTTTGGGGCGTTACAGAGGGCTGAACAAAAGAAGCTTTCGAGGTCGAAAATGCCGAGTGAATCGAAGTTGGTAGGGCAAAATCGTGCCGAGTGGGCGTTCCGGTCAAATGGAGGTTCGCCGGAAGTCGGAGTCTGCCGTGCCGTTTGTGATTTATTATTTATTGATTGCAGGGCCTAGTGCATTTTGGCGAGCGGTTGGAACGGGGTTGTCGGACTACAAAAAACTGGCTAGCCCAGGAAAAGGCCGACAGGGCACATCAAACACTGTCATCAGTGCAGTTCTCCAACAACTCATCGACCGTCGATGGATACCACTAGGTTTCTTCTCGAAACATCCGCAATGTGCCGAATCGCGTTACAGCACCTTCGATAGGGAACTACTAGCAATCCACTTAGGTATCTGACCCTTCCGTTACTATCTCGGTCGACATTTCAATCTTCACCGATCACAAGCCATTGATCTATGCAATTAATGGCGCAACAGACAAGTATTTTCCGTGCAAAACCTAGACTGCGTTTCTCAGTTCACGAGAGACGTATGACATGTCTCAGGTGCTCTTAATCCCGTCGCGGACGCCGTTTCACACATCCATCAGATCAGCTTAGTACTTGAAGCCAACATCGACCAAGCCAATATGGCTGCAGCCAAACAAACTGATCCCTACATAGACAAGCTTCAGCGCAATTCTCCAGACTTCTGTGCAAAAATCACCTTCTCAGCCTGCGCCATCACGGCCAGCGCCGCAACCTCAGACTAGTCACTCCGCTCCAGCAGAACCTACGGTCACAACCGACTTCACCCCTAATATCAATCGACGTGGCAGGGAAATCAAACCTCGCGTGCGTTTCTCATGGTTTGTTGGCATTTGCTATTTTACACAGAAAGTGGCATTCACATTTTCACGCTCTTACGAACGTCTTCCAAAACAAACAAAAAAGACTAAAACGTTTCGAAACTACCAAAAATAGCAAAACTTTTCGAAAACACAAAAACAGTTTGCACGTATACCTTTGGCACGCATTTGTGTATTGCTATGCCTTTACGCTGCTCTTTTTCATTATGCTTTCCACTATACACTGTCGGTTGGTCGCCCCTTGGTTTCACGATTCGCTGGATCCCTGCACCTCAACGAGTCACAATGAACTTCCTGTTCAACCAGCTAGGTGAACTTTATTAACTGTCCCCCCCCCCACGAACATTCTTCCCGTTTCGATAGCGTAGGGAAGACATCAGTGGGAGCCCGTTAAGGTCCGACTGCATGGTTCTCTCCCAGCAGCTGCAGCAGGTTTCATAACGTCTCGAAGAAGGCTGGCCCGCGACAGACAGTAACCAAGTAGATCGAAAGATTGATTACATAGCCCATACTGAGTGAGGGCTATGAGGCAGTCTGGAGGTTCCCCGCTTTGCCTGTGTAAATTCTAACTAAAAGTATTATTTCATTGTACACCTAGGCGACCGGTGCGGATTGCTTAACTGGTTGCTGAGCACGATTGCTTGAGTTAGGCATCGCCATTTTGCCAGGCGCTCGCTTCGATTACAACGCGCAAGCACCTTGTGTGTTGTGCGTTTTTCGTTCATCTAACTAGCAGTATTCAACGATGTCGTGTTTTATAGCAAGGGTAACAAGGAACATTTTGCTGTGCAACCAAATGATTCCAAGCAACCTGATCTGCCATTTGGAATCACAATCCGCGCTCCTGCGAAAATACGTCTAGGTCTGCCGCCTGTGCCTCCTGCCAACGACCGCACTTTGAAGGTTAACCAGAGCTACGTGTTGTGTAGTACAAGACGGGCAGTCTCCATGATTACGAACAGGGTCTAGAAATAGCGTCTGTGTTGGCATTCTGTGCAGCAGGTCGACGTCAGCACTCAAAATCATACTCATGCGGTTGTTCCTGTCATCTGGCAATCTGTCCCTCCAAGTCTATGAAATTTTGTAACCAGCGAAGTGACTGATGATCTGTCGATATCAAAAAATTTCTTCGCAATAGGTAGTGTCAATTTTGTTTTATGAAAATACTGGAGTTAATATTTTCTTTCTGGTTGGGCAGTTGTTCCGTTCTCTCGCAATGAGACTCCCACTGCTGTAAGACACCACTATTTCTATTCCGTCCCTCCATTTCTGTGACAAAACAGCCCCGATAGCCTGGTCGCCAACGTCCGTGTTTAGAATGAACTCCCAGCATTTGGTGACAGGTCCGGGAAAAGCAACATAGGGGTGGCAAAGAGGAATTCTCGTAACTGATCGAAAGATTTTTGAAAGTTCGACGATTCTGTAACAAAGCATTCAAATGTGTTGCGATCTCAGAGAAAGCTCTTATGAATTGCCGGTAGTATGAATCCAACTCAAAAGAACTATGTAACTCGTCAACATTGGCAGCGGTTGGCCATAGTTACACCTGTTCCGTCTTGCGAGGATCCATTCGAATTCCCATCCACGAAGTGATGTGCCCGAGATACGTTACCTCTTCCTGTAAAAGATGGCACTTGGTCGGTTTGAGTATGAGCCCTATTTCGATCGGGCGTTTCAATACTTCAGCGAAATTGTTCAAGTGTTCCTGTTTTTCCCCATGTACGATAACATCATTCACGTAAACGAGACATTTCCGCGGGATCAACCCCTTTTGCGTCCCGTGTTGAAACATCGCGAGTGTGTTTGCGAAACCAAAAGGCATGGTTTGGAATACGTAAAACACTGGTGGTACCACGAATGCGGTTTTCGCCTTATCACTCGCCTCCACTTGTACTTGACAATACTCCGAAGCCAGATCTAGCGTGCTGAAATAAGCCGATCCTGCCAGCGCGTCAAATAAGTCATCAATACTAAGAAGCGGAAACGCGTCCTTCCGAGCGACTTCATTTAACCTTCTGTAATCAACGCATAATCGGAAACCACCATCCTTCTACTTCACGAGCATCACCGGGGCTGTTCATCGGAAAGCAGATGGCCATACAACCTTCTTTTCCACCAGTCCGTCTATCAGCTTTGGTATCGCATACCCCGTGTCGAGCCGGTGTTTTACGAGGTTGGTTCGACCCAAATCACTTGTTTGCTATGCAAGTGCCTCTGAGTGATTCTATAACAAGGCCTTAAGCTCTTTCGGTGTATGCTCGTCAGTGGACAAGTCGAGGCAACGAACGAAGGCGCTGACGTATTGTTTATCGTCTAAATTGTCATAAATCGCGAAATCTTCCAAACTATCACTTGCTTAGGGTAAAAGCAGAACCGTGCAGTTGTCTGTGATTAGCTGGCCCTTGTCTAAATCCAAACGACATCTCAAACGGCGCCACATATCCATCCCAATGATTACATCGAAGGGAACTATATTATCCGTGATGAACTCGTGGTTAAAATTCGGGTTCGGGACGTCAAACAGATAACGATTCTGGGTTGGTGAGTCAGATGGTAGCGACAAGATGTCCGTACGCAATCTGTTAGCCGCCTAGGTAGGCTGGACCTACCGGGGTCGATGAGACCAAGTACTCGGACCCACAAAACTTGTAATTCTACTGCGAAAGCGGATTTTGTAATCCAGGTGCATAGAACGGCAGGTATGAAATCAGTTTGTACATGGTCAACCACAGAAATGGTACAAAGCACGGTCGGAGGGGATTAGGACGGAAAATCATCTGTCACGCCGAGTTATAGCTCGCTGGAATTCGCTTCCAGATCATGTCGGTTAAGGGTTTTGCGCATCACCTCGGTGCTCTTCGGTGGCAAGACCAAATATCTCCTTTATTTTAACTGACTAACCTTCGGTTTCCAGTTTTTTGTAATGATTCAAATATCTTGGTATTCTACTTGCTTAGCGCTTTCTCTTCTTTCCTTCTGAGTTGACTGTTCTCTTTCTTATTTCCCGTAACCGGCCCAGTACGGACTGCTAAAGCAAGATACGTAGACATAAATAAGTTGGACAGGGTATGATGCGGTTTTTGTTTTAGATTCATCAGTATTTCAAAGTCTGCCAACT